TGTTGTCATTTATATTTCCTCAAAAAGTTAATTGATTTTAACTGTTGACATCAAGCTTCTTTAAATTCCCTGTATTAGGTATACTCACCAACTATAGCATGCCCCAATTTTCCCTGTTTCCTCAAATCTTCTTTAAAAGTTTTCTCCCCAAGCTTTTAATTATCAAAATTTTCCAAGCATGGTTTTATTTTCATTAAACAGTTTAATATAGTCTCAAAAACATTGTTATAAATTGTCTTTTTTTTTTTTTCTTCGGTAATTTATTTATTTATTAGCAGTTAGTAAGTTACTGCATTTGCACCCAAATAAGATGGCTTCATAGGACACTGTTTAAAATCATATTGTAATTTTTTTTATTTTTACAGTTATGAAAGTCATTCTTATTGTTTTTTTTGTTTTGTTTTTTTTTTTTTTTTTTTTTTTTTTTTTTTTTTTTTTTTTTTTTTTTTTTTTTTTTTTTTTTTTTTTTTTGTTTTTTTTTTTTTTTTTTTTTTTTTTTTTTTTTTTTTTTTTTTTTTTTTTTTTTTTTTTGTTTTTTTTTTTTTTTTTTTTTTTTTTTTTTTTTTTTTTTTTTTTTTTTTTTTTTTTTTTTGTTTTTTTTTTTTTTTTTTTTTTTTTTTTTTTTTTTGTTTTGTTAACAAAAGCATTCTAATGTTGGGCAGTTAAAGGTATTTTGTTACTCGGACTATATAACTTTTACACATGCTTACCTATTTACTGGAAACCTGTCTCCTAGACAGCAAATCTCCTTTGCACTTACCAGGGTAGGGTCAGGTGTGTACAGTTTTTCACTTTCAGTGAAACTCAATGGAAGTTTCTATTTCTAATTTCTGAATATAATCTACATGGAAATTAAGGATTAAACCAACCTCATATTGTTTGCAATTATTTTAAATATTTTGTTTTTGTATATTTGTTTGAGCCTTTTCTGTTTTATAGGCATTTATCATACTTTCTTTATCTGTGAAAAAGTAAAAGCAACTATACATAAATACCTGGAATGTGTATTAACAGAGCATGGAAAGTGTGACACTGAAATTTGAAGGCAATTTGGGATAGTCAAAGATGCATTTCAAAAGCTAAGCAGAATATTAAGAAACAGAAAAATTTCATTAAAAATAAAGTGTACTGAACTGTTACATGATGTCCTTCATTATGGCAGTGAAAGCTGGACGATCTCTTCAAAGATGAAGTTACTTGAAGCAACAGAAATGTGGTCCTACAGAAGGAAGCTGATTATATGTGCAATGACAAAGTTTTAGAGAAAATGGAAGCAAAAAGGAAACTTAGACTTTTCAGGAAGAGGCAGTTGAAATTTCTAGGGTACATAATGAGGAAATAAGGCTTGGAAAATCTGATACTCACAGGACAGATCATAATATACATAGCTTGAGTAAATGGATGATGGAACAAGGTTTAGGAGAAATAACAAAGACAAAATTTATTAAGAGCTATGAAGGACAGGAAATTGTGGAGTCATGATTGCCTATATTCTGAAGGTACATGGCACATAAAAAAAAAAAACCCTGCAATACTCCTATACAAAGGTTTTTTTTTTTTTTTTTTTTTTTTTTCCTAGTCAAGGTGGTATCATTTTGGCTGTTTTGAAATCTGACTAAACTTAGTAATTTGACTATTTATCAATTTTTCTTTCTTTTTTTTAACAACTTTATTCATCAGTTAGATATATGCTGTTTTTTGAGTTTTTATAATTCACTCAATATGTCTTTCTTTATTCATCAAGAAAATGTATTTATTATTCCTGATCCAACCTTGATATGCTTGTGGTGTAAATGTATTGCAGCTAGTAATAAACAAAATCAGAGAGCAGTTCTATTACATTCATTTGCATGCAAATATCCTTGGGAAATGTATGGACCCATCTGTTCTCATACTAGCTATTGGTTAAATAGCAAGACTGGGTTCTAAAGTCTTGGTTGGCAACTGTTCTAGCAAATCTGGGTCACACATGGAGATGCATCTGCCCATGAAAATGCTCAGTGATGCAAACTGAGAAAGCATTTACTTTTTTTACATTTTTTTTTTCTTTTTCTTTTCTTTTTTTTTTCTTAACAGGTTGAATCCAAAAGTTGTAAGTATTGTCTTGGTTAAGAGCTCTTTTTTAACTGGTGCTTTTTTGTTTCTTCTTTCAGAACTTACCATAAAAGATTACAAACTCAAAATATCCGTAATGCAGGGAAAGAATTACGACGCATGGCTGATGCATTTGAACTCACTTATGAAAGAAAACAGGTTAAAGCCAAGGCTAATGAGGTAAGAGTTTGACCTTATTGCTTTTTTTTTTTTTTCTTTTTTCTTTTTTCTTGTTCTGTTTGAACTAGCAATTTGAATTTTACAAAGCTGGTAAGTTCTGATGCTACACAAGAGTCTTAAGTTTTACTTTATTTCATGTAGCAGGGTTTGCGTTCACAGGGAACTGAGGGAGTTATCAAAGAATTGGAAAAATGTAATTTCTTTAAGAAAAATCAAAGAATTAGTAGGGAATTTTGGTTTAATGTCAGCAAAATTAGGGAATTTCTTAATGTAACTTGATAAGCAGCAAAGGAATTTTTTTGTTTTACCCTTTTTCTTCACTTTTTTCATTATTTTTTTTTTTTTTTTACTTTTTCAAATGGAGAATAGTTTGAAAATAAAGGCTAAGCACACACACACACACACACACACACACACACACACATATGTGTGTGTATAGACACACACACACATATATTAAATTCCCCCTCCTGGTTTGGAGGTAATATGCACCAACCTTGGTAAAGCTAGTGCATTCATTTTTCTTTCTAGTTTTGAATTCATAGTTGACCTGCTAGACTGGTTAGATAGAATCTTACCCATAGTTGGGGTATAGGGATTGAAGAGATATTTCTCAAGAGTATGAAGAAAAAGCAACAGCCTTGGCCAAAATTTGAAATTTGAGTGCAGATTCCATTTTTCATACCAATAACCATCCACTTAATAAATACCAAAGCTAAAATCTTAAGTACCTGTACTTTTTCTCCTCTTAGTGAGATAGAGAAATGATATGTATTCTTTTCAATCTGATAGTTTTTTTTGTTTTTTTTACCTTAGTGTGAAAACACTTGTACTTATTTTTAAAAAAATAAGCATTTTTCACCCCATTTAATTTTCAGCTTGTAATATTAGAAGGAATTTGTTCATTCACTCAAATCCTCCTGGCATTTTGTTTAAAGTTCACATTTTCTTGATTTCAAATAAAAAAAATTGAGAATTTTCTAACATGTTTTGAAATTTTCACTTTTCAAAATTAGTTTATAATTGTATTTTAGATATGTGGAAAAAAAAATAAGTGGTCATTGTAAACTGACACCAGGAGGAAACAGAATAATAAAGCATGTAAATAATAATATAAATAATGTCTGGCTGCTAAGGTGGTGAGTTAATCACTGTAACAGACACATGTTTCTTCACTGACAGCCCATCTGTGGTTTTATACTGCTACTATGCTGGACAGATCTTAGTTACAATTTCTGGGAGAGAACATGATCAGTAGTTGAACAAGCTCAGTATGCTCAAACCCTCAGTCACCATGACTTGTGACTTTGTGCTATCACAGCAGTTGATGGCTTCTAAACAGTTGTCTACTTAAATTCATTCATAACACTTGTGTCAATCCATAGAATGGTTTTTCAACTTCCCAATGATACTCATGCTGTGATTGTCTCATCAGGCTGTTATAAATGTTGCCTCTTTGATTGACTGTGGTAAGATTCAAGCCTAGGTCTCATGTTTGGAACTCTATTCAAACCACATGGCTCAAAGTACATTTCTATATTAAATAGCATTATTTCCTTGCCTGTAATTATCATTAAATGTAATTATGATGTTAGTGGGATCAGTTGCATAACTAGCATTTATGCTGCCTAAAGACATTATATAATTTGTTGTCCCTTGAAACAACATTCAAAAGCTAAACAATATTTACTTCATTATACTAATTCACGTAAATGCCACACCCGCCAAGACTTGCCACCTGGAGTAGAACCCCTCCTCTTCTAGGTCTGCCAATGAGTGGGATGTTATGAGAATAATTTCTAATTTTAAATAAATGTAAGAGTAAATATGTTTGCCTATTGTCCATTTCACACTCCTCCTTGGTTTTTTGAACAGGAGTAGAGGTTTATCCCTTTTTCCCCTGTTTAAAATTGGGTTTCCAGGTTCCTTCTAAAGTCTTTTCATTCCCTTCACTCCCAGTAGGCATTATCACCTTGCTTGGAATGAATTGATTAAAACAAATTTAAAAAAGATACATTTAGTTAGAAAATCCTTAAATTTGTAACTGATTCTAGAGGGTACAGAAGAAATTAAAAAAATAAAAAAAATTTTCTCAAGAATAGTATGATTGCCACTTGGTTATCACTTGCTAAGATTTAATATATATATATATATATATATATATATATATATATATTTTTTGAATAAAAGACAGACCACGTTAAGATTCTATGTAATAAGCTATTTCACCATAACCCCTTTAACAGGGTTCTGGATCATCAGACTTTACTTCCAAAAGCTGAAATGAAGAATGAAAAGAAAAATTCACATTTTTTTTTTACGGACCTCATCAAGTATACGCAAAGTTAACGAAGTGAGGAAGTGAGGTGGGAGAGAGGATATGAGTGTGTCATATGTATCATTTTAGTTTCCTATTTTAACCCCAGTGTGTCGGCTGGATGTTGCTCAAATTTAACGCGTCTCGTCTCTAGATAAAGGTGGTTAAGGGGTGAATGATAAGAACTACATTAAAGGAAGACGTTACAACAACCCCAATAAATTACACGACAGGTTTCATTCAAATTCTTAGACGCTGTCAGTTCATTACTTTAACGTGCATATTTGGGAGGTTAAGGTTTGATAAATATCTAAAATTTTAAAACAATCTTGAAGAAATTAATTTGAAAATTTGGAGTTTTGGGTATTTCCCATATTTTATATATATATATATATATATATATTGAAAG